CTAGAAATATTATAATAATGTATTCACAGTTGTACCTATATGCCAGTATTATTTAGACAGTAGAGTATACATATACTGCAAGTAGGGTWCTAGTCTTCTACAACTCTAAGTTCTACCATCCCTTTCTCACTCCTATAATATATATTATTTACCGTCATAGMTAATAATAAATTCGTAGATCAATATTGTTATCATTTTTAATATGTATGACGGTAAATAAGATATATTATAGGAGTGAGAAAGAGATTGTAGAACTTAGAGTTGTAGAAGACTAGAACCCTACTTGCAGTATATGACGTATACTGCTGTATACAACTATAAACTACATATACTATTTGTTAAATTGTATGATTTATATTAATTGTTTTAATATTTAAATTTATTGAATTTTGATCTTATGTTATAATTATTAGGTATTTTTAGAATTTTATGTTTCTAGTTTAAGTACAATATATTAGAGTTAAGAGAAATAATAAGCATTTGAAGTAATTTTTGAATTTTAATGTTGGTGTTATTAGTTATAGTCTAGTTTACAGAGAGGGTATGGGGGTAAGCCTCCCCACTAACGGGCTTGTGATTAATCTTAGCTAAAACCCTATCCAAACTGAAATCTTGTGTACGCTTCTGTAGATAAAGGCAGAACATAATATATAATTTACATTATAGATAACAATCTATTATCGATTCTACCTTTTTTCACGTTAATAGTTCATTACAATAAAAATATTTATCCACCATTACTTCGTGTACTTTCACATTTTAAGATATTTTCATTCATATGACGTGTCCTCGAAAAAATGTAGATAATTATAAAATATGTTCCTACACACTTTTATACATTTTTTCTCATGAATGTATTCATTTTGATACGGTCTCGAAGGACTATAATTTATGCAATATCAATCTGCAGTGATCAAGTGTGTTAATTTCCTTTCGTTTTAGATGTATTCCAATATTTTTATCATTCAAAATATTAACGATTTTTTTATCACTTATCATGGTACTTAACAGTTTATATTTCTTGTCTTGGGTGTTTAAGTATAATATAAATGTGTATAAACATTTTATAAAGCCCCGCTCGAGATAAAATTTTGGTTTCTCTGTTCTAAATGTTTTTGGGAGGCCCTATAAAATAAGTATTCCTATAAAAATTTAAAAAATTACAAATTAATTTCAACGAACCTTTAAACTATAGATCCATMAGCCTCTCTACCCCTGTGTGACCCTGATTATAAACCCCTGCTGTGTACACGAATGTCGAAACTTCTATTACCGTACGTTGTAYTAAATATAATAATAATTTGTTTCGTATTGCGCATGTTAATTAATAGTAATATTACCTATGTTAAGTAATTTAACAGCATAATATCAGTAGGATGCACATCCATGATATAATAATATTTACATAAACTCAAAATTGGTACAAAATGATAGTATCCGGTTACTTCTTGTATAGGAACACTTTAGTACTATACCACTATATAAATATACTCATATACGTATAAACAATATTACACAATTTATTGTTTAACTGACRCAATAATAGACTTATCATGTGCGATAAACAAAAAGGAAAATAAATACGACCAACAGTTTTCCAATAAGGAAGTGAATGTTACTGTTCTTGTGTTATAGTAAATTATTGAAGTAGAGGTCTCCGCTGTATATTATTATTATTTTCTTTCCATAAAAGAAAATTATTTGTTCTGTTCTTGAGTAGATGGGCGTTTACTTAATAATAATAATAAAGTCGGTAACAAATGAAAATGAACATAACATAACACAAAATACATAATACCGATGACAACACTACGTCTTATATTCTGACTAAATCTAAATGGTTCGTTCTCATTCCACGATGTTCTATTCATACCGCAGTTCTCGCGAAATCAGAACAATATAATACAACGTGGATATAGGTAGGTATCGAAGGTTTCATATAAAAATAATACCATGCTAACGACGTCACGATTGTACTTCATTGTTTCAAAACTGGAAGGTCGTTCACCGATCTCTTTGTCCAATCGTTCGACAAAACCTATATAATATTGTCTAGAAGAGCACTGAGCAAATTATTATTATATATTTTTTTCTAATTATTTCCTTTTGACGTTGTGTTGGTGATAAAAATATGGTCGAGCGATGTGCGTTGATGTATTATTTTATTTTTAATTTTTCTAATAATTTCCTTTTATTGTTACGCAAATGGTTATTGATAACAAGAACAATAATATTATACTCTTATAAAATGTATATTATATAGATTATGATGCGTGTCCCATATTCAAATTCACCTGAACAACGTACCAGTTATTTGGCTTCCTTCCGAATAGAAGCCGTTCTAATTTTTTATTTCCCRGTATATAGGTCAAACGTCCGATATCCACGATATTATACCAGAGCCACTGAGTTTTGTGCAAACCAATTTTCTACAATAATCATAGATTCCTCTAAAATCGTTTTACCCAGTACCTATCGGCTATCGGCTATTATACGTGTGGTGTTCTTCATAATTAATGAACCTTGCTTTTGACGCACCAAACAAGAAAACGGAATTCTGTACAATTACTCATACATCTTGAATTTATTTTCTTGTTGAGTCAACCAAATAGTTGTTACTATAACCATCAAAAAAAAAAAAATTATGGCAAACGGGCAATTTATAAAATAGTTGAAATATACGCATATTTACCAATCAAATCATAAGTTGTTTAAAAAGTTCCCAGCTATTGTCTAGAAATGCCACAACACACTACATAGTGAGATAATAATTTACAATTTTCGTTCACTTGCAATTATAATGTGTGAGCATTTATATAAAGTATATGGATAAAGGTGTGAAATAATATGCAAATCAATACCCTATTTTTAACGTAATTCAATGTGTATACAGATCATACAGGCTACAACATAATTATTTATTTATGATAATATTTTCCATTTTTATAACGTCATATTATATTTTATGTTAGTATAATATTATTCGATAAACCTCAAAATATATAAGATACACACGCGTGTATAATGTTTACCGTGATTGGAATTAAGATTCTTTAAAATCAATTGAATTTGTTTAGGCGGCAGGCACTAAAGTATCATAATATGAGATTTTATTAGGTTACAGAAAATAAAAATCAAATCTTAGTTTTACAGTCTGATATGTAATACAATATAATATAATATTGTATAATAGCATCTTATACAATATAATATAAAAAATAAAACTCAATATTTCATATGAAATAAAATAAAGAAATTGTTATATCTATATTTTAGTAGTTTTAAATAATTATTAATACTGTTATTGAACCATAAATATTATATTATAGTTCAATAAAATAATATTGTTGAATCAATATAGAGTATTATRTCAACTAGAAGAAGTAAAACGTACAAACAACATTAAATTAAATTTTAATCTATAGATAAAGTTCACCGATATTTTGATTATAATAATATTATATTCAACTTGTACAATATCATATTTGTTCAATATTTAATAACATTATATTGCTTATAAGTTTCAAAAAGTCTATCTGGAGCTCAAAAAAGCATAGAAAATGTGTTTACTGTTGATTATTTATCCGAGGCATTAAATTGGAAAAATAGTTCCACATATAAAGCACATGTAATTTGCACCACTGCAGGTAGCCGAAAGTAGTGTTTGTAATTTACACCAAAATAAGGGTATGTAATTTGAACTATCTTCTGGTAGTTGAAAATAGAATTTGTAATTTTCACCAAAATGATTATTTATTTGTTCGAATACCGAATATTTCGATTTTGAAATATTTGATTATTCTTCGATATCTTCGTTGACGTCAAGACTGAATGACAGCAATAATTTTCTTATATTCATAATAATACGAATTTAATTATATATATATATTTTTTAAATGGCTTACTTTTTTTCATATTCATAATTATACGATTTTATATAAGCTTACAAAAATATGTGTATAAGCTCAGCTATTTTATAAATAAAAGCTAAGCTAAATGTATTTTAAGATATAGAAACTTGTAAGTTGGTATACTATTGAAAAAATAGTCGATTTTAATTTTGGTTCAAATTATAATTCCTATTTCTTACTATCTGTCGATGGTGAAAATTACATATCCTTATTTTAGAGCAAATTATAAACGCATTAATAAAAAAAATTGCACATGTATATATTTTGGGTCAATTTTGGTGCAAATTGACTACAGCCCATTATACAACTCAATATTTTACTATCATTTTTACATACCTATACATATTTCCTACGCATACATAAAGTTTTAAATGTCTTTATTCAAATATATATAACTCGTGGAGRAAATTGAATAATCATATAACTAATAATTTTATTGCTTTTCGAGTTTCGTACAAGAACAAAGCAATAACTACAAAAAAAAAGTAAATACACAACATACTGCATTGTATAGCGAAAAATGCTGTAAAGTTGTTTACTTCTTTTACTGAGTAGGTATCAAAGTATACTATTTTTAAAAGTTTTTTATTTTTTATGTGTATTATTTCAAACTTATAAATAACGAAAAAAAAATGTTATTCGATATTTCTGAACTTATACTACAGTAATGGTAGTGATGTAGTATGACCATATATTATAAAATATRTAAAAAGATAAATTCATGTGTGTATTTTTTTTACCGCATTTACCTTACGAGGAATTTACAAAATATCTTTTAACAACGTTTCCGTGYGGTGCGACGAATATAGTACCTATATCTATAGTGTTTTTGATGGATTTCCTTAGCTCCGCGATGATCGTTACATTTCGTGTGGTTCAATCAATCAATGCGGGTTTGTTCTCATACTATTTTCCCTATATTTATATATGTGTATATTTTATCTGACACTTGCTGTGATGACGACCTTCGTGATATATGCAACGTCATAATATCATAATATTTTTGTACGTTAGATAATAAATAGGTACCTACTATCGTTAACTTTCGTGTCAAATGAAATTGAAGGTGTGATTTTTTTGTTTCCACAGGACGTTCAAAATGTTGCTGACGCCAGACGAGAAACTATTCGCTGACGACGTGGTGTTCGAAGGCTCAGGAGATCGGCCAATACCGTTTGATCCAGGCAAAGCTTACGTCGGCACATTGGAAGGTAAATAAGATTAGAACCATTTGGTGTATAATATTGTATTTAAATAAAGCTGATCTGTATTGGAAAATTGCGACGGCTATTGTTAAGGTCTATCACGTCTATATAAAATCGGCGTGCCTACGTGAAACTCAATATTATACATGGAAGAACCCGTATTCATTGTATACGAATAAAATAATATAAATAATGACAAATACATACACATGTTGTATCCTGTGTAGTTTGTCATATAGGTACCTACGCGTTCATTTGTTTGCCTATAGTATTTCAATTAACCACACCGACATTTGTTCTCAAGTCAGAATCGTCATCGCCGTATAGCATCATTATACTTTACGATCCATTATAATATAATAATACATGTAAATTATGCCCGGTATTTATATAAACATATATATATAAACACACACTGACATTATAATTAATATATTGTCTATAAATAATAATGTTACAAATTAGAGAAAAGTGTATACATTTTAGGTACTTCGTCAGTAGGTACCTGCTCCAAAATCAATTATGCACCAACATGTAAATATTAATTTTTTAAAGGATTTTGATTCTTAACGAATTCTTCAGAACTCTCTTATATACATCTACGATTTTTTCACGGTAAAATAGCTTCATAATTTATTATTGTTTTCTAGGATTTACGTTTAATTTTCTCATGTGAAGCATAATATGATTTATAATATTTATTTTTATAATGCTACTATCAAATTTATTCCATGGCTGGTTATTTCTAGTTCAGTAAATTTTAGTCCTTACTACACATTCGTGATTTAACTTTCCTATTTCGTTACTATAGTTGGCAAACGTATGGTAAACTTTCCCAAGGTCTCTGTTTTGAAGTTTTAATTCGGTTGAAAGTGTGAGTCTTCTTCGCTTCGTACACAGAACACAGTTGTCTAAAAACTTAGCTTTAAAGTGTATTGGAACACTAGCTGTGGTGTTGCAAAATAAGGCGTTTCGAGTAGGAAGAGGGAAAACATTAAAACCATATGGGGTTTTACAGCAAACCATTCGTTTTATGTTCCATACCACTTTATTTGTCGTAAACATTGTAGTAACATTTCGAACGTGGTTCAAATGTAATTTCATTATTAGGCCCGTGTAATTGAGTTTTTTTTTAGTTTTCCTTTTCCTAGTGAATTTAATTTAACTTATTTAAAAACGTACAATTATAACTTAAAGTAAGAATAAATATTGTTTAAACATGCCTACAACAATAGATGAATATTATTCCTGCTGAACAAATCTAGAAATAATTTTATGCTATGTTACTGTTGCACATACTAAAAATTCTAGAAACTTAAAATACTTACGGGCTACGACGTATTATAATTAGGTAATACTTTCAATGAGTATAGTTATACCAAATAGTCGAATAATGAAAAAGAATAAATAATAAGTCCAGTTAATAGAAAAAAATCATGATTGTATTTAATTTATGTATTTCTAACAATTTTGGTTTCTTAAATTTGATTTTTAATGACAATAACTTTATTTTAGATACCGATTATGTTGTATTTATAACGTCAACASTTTTGAAAGTACTCAATATATAAATAAAGCACAAATATTTCGTTATTCTTAATTTTAGTAAAAATGTATTTAGTTATTTCAAAATATTAGATTTATTTCACAACCTTTACCTACACGACATTCTAATTTACTTTTTATTGACTTTTTATTGACTTATTATAAGTTTATCACAATAATGGATGATATATCTTTTATATAATATTATAATAATTAATAATATAATATGCGATGTTTTTTTTTCCCAARTAAGTGCTACATACTATGTATTATTAATAGAAAAATAGTATTGTTAATATTTTATGATTATATCATAATTCATAAACCTTGAAAAATAGACGGCATCGTTRCTCAGAATCGTTTTTCGTATGCAGTCATTAGATAGTATCCACATTAGTATTTATTTTACGAGCAACTCTAATTATATGGTTTATTATGTCTTCTACTCGAAATCATTTTTAAAATCTCTTCTTAAATGACACTCTTGGTCAATTTTTCATAATGACTGGATTTAATTTTAACTTGAAAGGTTCTGTTACTTTTGAATGGACATTTTTCGTTAGATACAGTGTACGGTTTATGTAGATGTATACCTATTTCACATCAAGGGTAAAATTATATTGTCCATACCCGGTACACAATATATTATGTGTCTCGTATTCGTGGCAGTACCTATATATTTGTGTGCAGAGCCTCGGTTGGAGCGCATCTACCTACGTTTAAAAATGTATATGTAAGTTATATTTTACCAAACAGACGAGAAACACAACCGATTGGGCTCCACGCGAATCGTTTGCTCAATATACAATCGCTGTAATGGCGACGATGGCGACWGGCGCGTACGTATATAAAGAAGTATTTCTCTGCGGCTTACATATCGGCTGCGAACTTATTCGTAAATTTATGTGCCGGTAAATCAATTTGCAGTTCGTGTGCAGGCCATTGCCACCACCTCCGCCACTGCCACAGCCCATTCTTTCTGTACGATATAGTCTTTATACATTATTATTATTATTATTATTATTATCCATGGCTGTGCGACGCGCGCCGTGACCGTCTTACGATTTATTTATTTTTCTTTATCCAGGATTTTCATTGCGAGCAGCTGAATCGTTTTGCCGACGAGTCGTTTATCATGCATTGTTCTTTATAGTTAAAAATATTACGTTTCCATATATGTGCGTGTGTGTTTTTCATGAGAAATCGCTTTAACCCAAACGTTTTCCTCGGTATTCCATTATAACACACTTCTGTATGTCCGTTACGTACGACAAAACTTCATAATTAATGGTTGAACTGTGTGGACCATGAAATAATCGCTATTGTGATATTATTATTATTAACGCGTTGGGCTATTTAAACAAAATATTATTAACAACAGACGGTTTCACGTGCTTTGCTTGCATATTATAATATGCATATAACTTATATATTATGTACGAATGAATGTGTGTGTGTGTGTGTGTGTGTTTGTTTATGCTGGTGAGTGTGTACGAAAGGGATGGAGAATGTGTTTGTATGCTAGTGCATTATTAAAATGGTTAGCATAACGTATACATATATAGTAATATGTTTATTTATCGTATAAACGCTTCGTGTTTTATATCCTTTCTCTCTATAGTATATAATATTATCTTGTTCGGAACGGCTTTTCTTTGTTTAAAATTTGCAGTCATTAGACCCTTGCATATATGTGCTAACTTTTTACTAATATATTAATAATAATATGCAACTCGTTTTTTTCGTATTGGTCTGCTAGAGATTTGTTGATTTAATGAARTATTCTTAAAGTTCTGTATTTATATTTTTAGATGTTGGATCCAATGTTTAATTTTTATGAAGTTCAGTCTACAAAAACAAGGTGGCTATATTCTTTTTTACAGCCATTTAAGTAGTAATGTTATTTGATTTTAATTAACTTAAGTGACATTATATATACCTACCATTATCTAACTAATTTAATTACATAATTCTACAGATCTGAATGACTATTACACTGTTATTTATATTTAATTTCTCATAAATACATTTTCATCTTAATAATATAGTATTATTACTGTTAAGTCATAAACATTGAACTATGAAGTAACACTATGCAATAAAAGCATTAAAAACTATAAGTTTGTTAAAATTGGTAAAATAATATAATTTCATGAAAAATAAATTATAGATTTTAGTTTCAAGGATTAATAGATGAACAAATTAGGTTATAGTAATTAAATTAATATTATAGACATGTATCTATAGGTATATCAATCTATCGAATTATGACAAAAGAAAGTAGGTTAATATAATATTTCGTACAATTCTAACGTAAAAAAAATCATCTGTTCTATATTATTATAGTTATTATAGTATTAACTTTTAAATAATGTTTGATAAATCATTATAGTAATGAATCATTACAAAAGTAGGTATACTGTACAGCCAATGTGATTTTAAGCTAAAAAATATCTTATTTTCGTCGAACAAATCTATTAACCCCAGTTCATGTGCAGATAATTATGTTTTCTTTGAGTGAGAATGACTCAAATTTTATTTAGTTATGGGGTGTAGACTGTAGTTACATTAATGAATCAACGAAATGTGAACTGATCTTAATGGAGCTTAGTTTAATCGATACTTTTTTTCGTTTCTTGTAATCACATATAATCCATTCAAGTGAAACCCATCAATCACAATATCGGGGAACTAATGATGTAAATCGAACGTGAACCTCAGTTGGAGAAAACTTTGTTTTTAATTTGTTTAACCGCATCACTCAAGAAAATTACATGAAAAAATAACGTAAGAGTTTTTCAAAAATTTTATTTTATATTTATTATTTACACCTTTTAAAACACTGTGTATTAAGAGCAATGTTAATCTTTGTATTTTTCTTACTATTATTKATTATAAAACATTGTAATTTAAAACTTTTGTTGTACGTCAACATATTAATAGTTAGGAAAACAAAATATAAGATAATACAAAATTCTTACACTTATTATTAATTAGTTAATAGGTACCATATTATTATTATTATTTTTATCATATCGTATATTTATTCTTTGCTCGTTTTCATATTAAGGCAGTTGTTAATTAATTBTTATCAAATTATTATAATTAACGCTTTTTTTATTCATAAAAAGATCACATTTTAAATAGACCAGTAAGGTAGTTATATAATTGTGTTGTTTGATACCTAATAAAATATAACTTTTATTTAATAATTACCTTAGAATATTATTAAAAGTGGATACTAGATATAGACGTATAGTTTTATTTTATATAGTTGTTTACAGTATAGCCATAAGTACTGTATGTACTCGTATCTTATTGTGGCCATATTATTACTTATATGCGATGGATATATTATAGTGTAATGTATATTTAAATTATTTTAAATTCGAGAACAATGATAAATAATACATTCAAAACGACTATGATAAGAGTTCAAATGTTTTCCTTTTATTAACAAA